GTAATATTGCCTGAAATGAGTTTGCTTTGGTTGTCTGTTGTCTGTTATTAATATCAGTTGGATGTTTTTGCATTGCTAATTAGTTGTTTGAGAAATTTATTCTTTCTCTCTCTCTCCTTCGTTCTTCCTCTCTCTCTCTTTCCCCCCCTCTCTCTCTTTCTATCTCTCTCCTCTCTTTCCTACTCTGTCTTTCTTTTTCTGTGTGTGTGTGTACGTGTATTTTTATGTACCATTGTTTTGACTTGAGTGTGTGTGTGTATATTTATTTATTTACTCAAGTACTATTTTTAGTACATTTCCATAGATCCCTATTTTGAATTCTTTCCATGTTTTGTTGTCTTTGTTTTGTTGTCTTTGCCTTCTTTTATAGGTTCTTTTTATATGTGAGTTTTTGTTCTATGGTATTGGGGTTCATTTCGGGAAGAATTGTTCTTCACTTATTATTATTATTGTTATGTTATTATGTTTATTTATGTTATTATTATTATTGTTGTTATTGTTCTGTACCAGTATCTGATTCGTGCTAAATTTTTTTTTATATTTTTGTTACAGAGGCACAGATTGTATAAAGTAATAGATTACCAACTCCATTTCTTTTTCTAGTAAATGTTTCTCAAAATTTCTCAACATTTGTGCACACACACGCGCGCGTACACACACATACACACACACATACACAAACATACTTTTTTACAAGTAGTAGTGGTTGTAGTAGTTTTAGCATTAATAGTAGTGGTAGTGGTGGTGGTAGTAATAGTAGTAGTGGTGGTAGTAGTAGTAGTAGTAGTAGCAGCAGCAGATGTAGTAGAAGTGGCAGTAGTGACAAAAATACTACATGTGTGGTTTAATAGCGGCATGTTAAAGACGATCATCATATCTCATTTTTTGTCATCATCTTCTTCTTCGTCATCATCATCTTCTCCATCTTTTTCTTCTTCATCATCATCGTCATTATTCATTGTCCATAATGGTCATCATTACACTAAGCCTGGCCACTTCTGCTGCTGCTGTTGTTGACGTTAATGTTATTGTTGATGTTTTTGTTGTTGTTTTTGTTTAGGACGCTGTTGTTGTTGTTGTTGTTGTTGTTGTTGTTGTTGTTTTCTCTTACTACTATCATCATCATCATTATCGTCCTTTTCATCACCATCGTCGTCATAAATGCTACTATCAATATCATCATCATCGTCATCATCATCATTGTATTAATCATCATTATCAGAACTGCTACTATCGTCATCTTCATCGTCATCATCGTCGTCGTCATCTTCATCGTCGTCGCCATCGTTGTTAAGATGCAAAGCAGCAAAGGCAGGCAATGCTTTTATTGCAATTGCTGCCAATGACAGAGCCCCACTCACTCGTCATCACTCTCTCTCTCTTTCTTTCTCTCTCTCTCTCTCTCTTCTCTTCCTCTCTTTTTATCTTCTCTTTATCTCTCTCTGTTCTTTACATCTTTTTTCCATTCTATATAATTATCCTTTTTTCTTTTCATCATTAGTACATTATCTTTCTCTCTCTCTTTCTTCCTCTCTCTTTCTTTTTCTCTTTTTTCTTTCTATTTCTGTCGGTTTTCTTCCCTCTACCATCATTTCTTTCTCCAATTTTGTGTAATTATGATCTCCATTTCTTCTTATCAATATTGACATTGTCATTTATTTTCTTATTCTTCTCTCTCTCTTTCTCTCTCTCTCTATCTATCTATCTATCTTTCTTTCTATCTATCTTTCTATCTATCTATCTATCTATCTATCTATCTATCTATCTATCTATCTATCTATCTATCTATCTATCTATCTATCTATCTATCTATCTATCTATCTATCTGTCTGTCTGTCTGTCTGTCTGTCTGTCTATCTATCTATCTATCTATCTATCTATCTATCTATCCATCTCCACCAACTTGGATATTACTTACTATGTTGATGAGGATGATGAAGATGATGATGGTGCTGCTGCTGATAATAACGCCGATGATGATAATAATGACGATGAAGACTCTTGGCTAAGATATAACTTACGATAACCATGGCGGTAGTGCTACTGAGAGTTATGATGATGATGACGATGTTGACGGTGGTGATGATGACGATGTTGACGGTGGTGATGATGACGGTGGTGATGATGGCGATGTTGATGATGATGATGGTAATGATGATGATGGATCGTTTCTCCATTGTTTAGCCTGGTCTTTCGGGAGGCATATAATTATATTCATGAAAAATAAAAATTACTCCACCAGTGACGATGATGATGATGGAGATGATGATTATGAAGAAGATGAATATGATGGTGAAGAAGAAGAGAATGGTGATGATGGTGACGAAAATTTTTTTGGTTATGTTGATGATGATGGTGATTGTATCTATTGTGGAGTTAGCTTATGGATGGCTATATAACATTATTATTAATTCTTTTTTGATTATTTTATCAAAAACACAAGCATCCAAACTGACACACACACACATACATACATACATACATACATACATGCATACATACATACATACAGACACACATAGACACAAACAAACACGCTCCACAATTAGAGGATTCTTTCTGCATACAAACCTCGTCACTGCAACAGCAGGGCCAGGCGTCTTAACCATAACACCATCTCGTTCTTTATGTTAATTATAATTTGTATTTATAATTTGTATTTATTATTTCAGATTTCTATTTATGGCTGTGCTAGAGAATGATCTGAAATACATCCAAACTATAAGCGTTCCATTAACATCAACGGCTTGGAATTTCAAAAAGGTAACATTATTCATTCATTCCTTCGTTCTTTCATTCGTTCACTTATTCGTTTGTTCGTTCATTCACCATTCATTCACCATTCATTCATTCATTCATTCATTTATTGTTTCATTTATTGTTTCATTTGTTGGATAATTTATACTCTAGTGTTTTATTTCAATTCATACTTTTGTTTATTAATTTTTACGATTGCTTCATTCACTCATATGTTCGTTCGTTTATTCTTTATTGTTTAATTAATAAAATTAATTAATTAATTAATTAATTCATTCATTCATTTATTCATTCATTCATTCATTCATTCATTCATGCTTTCATTCATCTCTTTATACAAACTTATGTAATAATGATAACTGTTGCGTCATACTACTACTACTACTTCTGCTGTTACTACTACTGCTACTTCTACTACTACGACTACTACTGCTACTACTACTACTACTACTACTACTAATAACAATCAAAATGCAATATTCATACATGAAATGGTTATTAATGACATAGTAGACTTTTGATCGCATGATGGTTGTCTATTTTTTTGATGCAGATAGGCTTAATACGATTTGATTTCTATATTTTCGAATGGTTTCTCTCTCTCTTTTTCTCTTTATCTTTCTGTCTCTTTCTCTCTCTATCTGTTTCTCTCTTTCTTTGTTTCTTTTTCCTCTCTGTCTACTTTCATCATACTGCCAGGTTAGGCACCCTGAATTGCTTCAATATCTACTCAAAAGAGGCCAACATTTTCATCATCAAATATACTGTCATTCAATGTACGTAATTAATGATTTGTCATCATTTTTTTTTTCTTATTTATTTGAAGGATGGCCAAAAAAGTTAAAATGTTCGTCCACTGAGTTTCAATCTAAATTAAAATCATGTGGCTCTCTTCTGTGGAGTTTTCATTATTTATGACATTTTTTCTCTTCAGTTGTTGTTTGTTAATTATTGTCTTTTTTTTTGTCTGTCTTTTCTTCCAGAGACCCACACACACGCGCGCACACACATGCACATACACGTACACGCACATGCACATACATACATACACACACACGCACACACACAAAATAATGCTTTATATGCCTCTCAGTAAAATAAGAAATTATGTCGACCTCACGCACACAACTAATTGTATATATGTGTGTATATTTGTTTGATTGTTTGTATTTGTGTGTGTGTGTGCGTAATGTATATGCGTGTACGTGTGTATTTATTTAAAAACACACATACAAACAAACACTTACAAACAAAAAATGTACACATACAAACAAATGTACAATTAAATATACAATACAAACAGATACGCACATACAAACAGATATACAGACATACAAACAAATATGCACACATACAAACACTTTTACACACATACAAACACGTATCTATGTGCATGCTAGCAAAAAGATAGAACTTGGAAAGGCTAATCTCTTATGTAATTAATTTTTATATGTTAGGTAGTTTCTTTTTACATTTGTTTGTTTGTTGGCTGATTGGCTGGTTGATTGGTTGGTTGGTTGGTTGGCTGGCTGGTTGGTTGGTTGGTTGGTTAGCTGGTTGTCGAGTGAGTGATTGATATGTTGTCTGACTGTTTTAGTGTCAAGTTGGTTATTTGGTTGATTGACTGATTGATTGATTGATTGATCTACATAACTCGACCAGACATAACCCAAGATATTAATAACCACATATTTACTATTAATATATTACGTAACCGAATTTTTTTAAAGGCGGGCCGGTTTGTTTACGTAACCTTTAACGCAACCTCCTTTCAACTTTCCGGATAATGCTCATCTTCGTTGTCAGCAGCAACAGCAGCAACCACACCAGCAACAACAACATCAACAGCTGCAACATGTATGACAACATCAACAACAACAACATCAACAACAACTACCTCTATTGTTAATTCAACTGATGTTTATAACATCCAGTGCAGTTCATACAGACTTTCATAAAATATTCGCCACTATTCTTCATCTTCACCGTCTGCTGAAAATATGGCAAACACAGACAACCACAACAACAACAGCAGCAACAACAGTAGCTACAGTAACTACAACAGCAGCAACAAAATGAGCGGCCGACATTCATCATCATCATTAACATCACCTCCCTCCTCTTCTTCATCATCTCTCTCATTATCATCATCAGCATCGTCGTTTTCGTCATCACAGTCTGCAGCGTTTGATTCACTATATAAGGCTTATCAATCTGCCTATACAGCTCAGCAGGATTCCGCTATGAGGATGATGTTCCCCTTGCCTCAGTCTTCATTTAGGTTTGTTAGTTTGGGAGTTTCCAGTTTCATTTAAATTTGTTTCTCCTTCTTTCACTCTCTTTCTCTCTATCTCTCTCTCTTTCTCTTTTTCTCCCTCTCTCTTCTTTCTCTTCTCCCTCTCTCTTTCCTCCTTTTTTTCTTGTTCATTTTTAATCACACGTTATTCTCGTTATTCTCGTCAGTTTATTTTTATTTCCATTTACTTTCAATTCACTGTACGTACATTCGTTTGTATGTTTGTACACACACACGCATACACAAACACGTACACACACACACGCGCGAATGTAGGTTGGACAATCCACTCTACCAGGCCAACTCGCCACCATCACCGTCATCAGCATCGCTATCTCTTGACCAGCAACTAATGCTGCAAGCCAGTCTCATGCAGTACCCACATTTGGGGGGGTTATACCCAAACCCCGCCCTGGGGTACGGTTCCTCTCGTTACCCCATGCCCGCGGATTTATTTTCTTCATCGTCGTCGTTTTCTAAGTATACAAGTGACATGCTAGCGGCACAGGCGTCTTGGTTTGGATATGATAGGTCTGTGATGTGATGGTCTATTTTGATTGGTTGGTTGGTTGGTTTGTTTGCTGGTGACTGATTGGTTGGCTGGTCGGTCGGTCGGTCGATAAGTTTGTCATCTGATTGGTTGGTTATGTTATAGATTCACATGCCTTATTGGCTGGTTTGTGGTGATGATAATCATATCATAACCTCAATGATGATGATGATAACGATATGGATAATGACAAAAAGATTATCGGTGATGATACTAATTCACGATCACAACCATGACGTCACCCAGGTTAAACAGCTTCTTGGGGGCGTCATCATCAACGTCATCGTCATCACTCCCACCGCCACAACTTCCGTCACTTCCATCATCGTCATCATCGTCGCTGACGTCATCATCATCGCCGATGATGATGACGATGAAGGAATATTCTAGCAGCAGCTACAACGACATGATGATGATGATGATGCTAATGATGATGAAGAGCGGTAATGGTAATAGTAGCGGTGGTAATGGTAGTAGTGGCGCCGGAAGTTGCAGGGACAAAGAAATAAATCATATCAACAACAACAACAACAATAATAATATTTCTAACAACAACAACAATAACAGCTATAGCCATCATAACAACAATAATCACGGCAATCATCATCATCATCACAAGATGAGTAAATCACATGACCAAATCTCTTCATCATCGTCATCATTATCGTCTAAACATAATTTGTCATCGTCATCATCATCAACTGGCTTACACCATAATAACATTAATAATAATTATACTAACAACAATAATAATAACAGTTTCAATAAAAAGTCCACTTCAGATCACTCAAAATATTACAACAACAACAACAATAATAATAATAATCACAACAACTACAATAGTAATAGCCATAAAATGAAAAGTCCTTTATCATTATCTGTGCCATCATCATCATTATCAGGACATACCTATCATCATCAAAACCATGGTTGGTTTAGTTTATTTTATTATTATCGTTATTATTTATTAATTATTGTTATTTTAATTATAGTATGTTTGTGTGTGTGTGTGTGTGTGTGTGTTTTCACGTGTGTGTGTGTTTTTCTCTGTCTGTTTGTATGCTGTATGTTTGTGTATGTATTTATGTATATGCGTGTGTATGGATGTATATATGTATGTATGTATGTATGTATGTATGTTTGGATGTATGTATGTATGTATGTTTGTATGTATGTTTGTATGTATATAATTGTCCACCAAAATATTTGATCAGGTCTTAACAGCCAGCTGACAACAACATCATCATCGTCGTCATCATCATCATCGTCGTATGGGTTCAACAACTTCAATGCTAACAATAATAACAACAACAACAATAACAACAACAATAATAACCACAACAACATTAATAATAATAATATTATTATTAATGGCTATCTCACATCCAATGAACAAAACTCTAAAAAGATTCCGGGTCAAAGTTCATACAGTAACAACAATAATAACAACAATAATAACAACAACAATAATAACAATAATATTAATAACACTAGCAACAACAACAACAATAATAATAATAATACTCTGTCTAGCAGCCAACTGCAACAGCAATCTAATTATTATCATTACTACCAGCAGCAACGACAGCAGCTGCAGCAGCTTTCGAATCAAACTTTTAAAAATAGCTCAGCGATCAGCAATGAACATCCTGCAAACAACAACAACAATAACATTAATAATAATAACAACAACAACAATAATAATAATAACAACAATAATAATAATAAAAATTTGTTGACAAACTCAAGATCATTGTATCAGCAACAACATTTGAGTGTTGACAAACAACAACAACAACATCAACAACAACAAAGGTACCAGCAACAGCAACAATTATATGAACAAAAATTTCATAGACCATTTGAGATAGATAAACTCTCAGACAATTTGCAACAGCAACAAGCAACAAAACACAACAACACATCATCGTCAACATCGACAACACCACTTAGCAAAAGATTCAAAGACGATAAATACCAGCTACAACAACAACAACAACTGCGATCTCAACAACATCAACAAAAACATTTAACAACAACAACGACAACAACGACATCGTCATCCAATCACAACTCAACTGTGTTACCCTCGTTCAACGTACCCTCAACTGAAACCAAACAGCAGAAATTGAATTCGGTAACACCATCTTCTCCCACTAAATCTGAACACTCCCAACTGAACAGCAATTCCTACAACAACAGCTACTACAATCAACACTACAGCTCCATCTACAACTACTACTACAACAACAACCACAACAATATCATTGGTAACCATCCTTTTTACAGCAATTTCATGAACAGTTATAATCAAGCTCTTGCTGGCAAATGTAACGAACTGCCATTGAATTTAGCCGTCTCCAAGCAGAAAGCTACTAACCTCAATAGCAATACGTCCGACAGCAACATAGCAGCTGACAACTGCAACACAGCAGCTGACAGCAACACAGCAGCTGACAACTACAACAGCAGCAGCACAGTAGCTGACAACAACAAAAACTGCAGCAACAGCATCTCTGACTACAACAACGACATTAATAACTTTCACGGTGGTAAAATATTTGCAGCAGCAGCAGCAACAACAACAACGGCGGCTACGTCAACTACCACAACGACGACATCAACTACCACAACAATTACGACCTCGTGCTCGAAAATCGTCAGTAAGTTAGATTTGGAAGCAATGAAGATGAAAAAAATTAAATTGAAGTCGAAGCAACAACATTCCTCCAACAACAACTTCAACAACGGCAACAATAAAAACATCTCTTTTAAACTTTTGGAGAAATCAAGCAATAAGAATATGACAAAACCATCAGCAGCAGCACCCAACAACAACAACTTTAAAACAACAACAACTACTACAACTGGAAACAATAGTAATGATGATGATTGTAAGATGGACGTTAGCTATGGTGATAATAATGGCCACGTACATGAGGATGGTGATGATGATGAAGTTGCTGGTGAGGACGAAGACGACGACGATGATGATGGTGCTAATTACGATCTGAAGATGGCTAAACTTACAACTGTCACCGTACAGCCGGCCATTCCAGAGTTATTCGATCTTAGTAAAGAGGAATTCTTACTGAAAATCGGCTTAATAACCGCTGTCAAAGCTAAAGGTAAGGTTAAGTTACCTCAGGGTCATTTCTATTTTTAGATATTTGTATGTTTCTATTCTTAGACTTACGTGTCTAAGAATAGAATTAGAATAGTTTTAGATTCATGTTGTCGCACATATATATTGTACAAGATTAACGGTAATTATACACTTTCACACACACACAACACGCACACACAACACACACGCGCACGCACACACTTACACACTCACACATACATACATACACACACATACGCACACACAAACACACACACAGACATTGAATACGAGAAGAGAAGAAGGAGAAAAAGAAGAATGAGAGAAAGAAGCATCAGTCCATCAATAATGGATGACGAAAACAATAATAATATTAATGATGATAATAATAATAATAATATTAATAATAATAATAATAATAATAATAATAATAATAATAATGATCATGGTTTTGATTGTAGCGCTGATGATATTGTTATCAACCATGATAGTGACGTTTTGACTTGGATCAGATCAAACTTGTTGTCGTCATCATCATCATCATCGACAGTTTCATCATCATCATCATCATCATTGTTACCATCATCGGCATCATCATCATCATCACTGTTATCAACATCATCATCGTCGTCATTGTTTTTTTCGTCATATCTTCCTAGTCATCAAGTTACAGTATTACCATTGATGACATCTTTGCAATCATCATCATCGTCGTCGTCATTATCATCATCCTTATTACCATCGTCGCAATCATTACCATCATCATCATCGTCTTCGTCGTCGGGTTGTACTGATAATAGTTCCCAAGAACAAGGGTGCGACAAGATTGAGGCCATGCTGAAATTAGGTCTCGTTTTTCAAGGTTGGCCGGCTGATTGGAGAGTGACACTCATTCATTCATTCATCCATTCATTCATCCATTCATTCATTGAATTCTGGCTGATTGATTGGTTGTTCGACTGGTTGGCTGATTGATTGGTTGTTCGACTGGTTGGTTGGTTTGTTGGTTATTTGATTGGTTAGTTCGTTGCTTGATCGATTGGTTGGTTGGCTGATTGATTGATTGGTTGAATGGGATTCATTTAGCGATCGATTGCTTGATCAAGTGAGGATTTTTTTCTTCAAATTTTCAACTGATTTAGTGCTATATTGATTGGTCAATAGACATATATTTGTCAAATTTATTGCATGCGTCTAGAGCTCAGGAAATAAATTTTTTTATTCATTCATTCATTTATTCATTCATTTATTCATTCATTCATTTGTTCATTCACTCATTTGATTATATCGTTCACCCGCCTTCTTCCATATTTTCTATCCAGTCTGCCATTTGTTTAATAAAATCCATAACTCTGTATTCACTTGCTTATTGTTGTTTTTGATGAGGATTTTATTATTATTATTATTATTATTATTATTATTATTATTATTATTCGTCATCATCATCATCATCACTCACATCTTATCATTACCATCACCGTCATATACATCATCATCGTCGTCGTCATCATCATTATCACAGGGTCAATTTTTTTCAATTAAAACTATTATGTTTACAGAGAAAATACCACCAGGCAACCGATCTGAAGATTATTCTAGAACTTTATTGTCGTCATCACCATCATCATCATCATCATTACCACTTCTATCATCATCATCATCGTTGCGACTATTATCATCATCGTCGTCGTCATCATTTTCATCAAGCAATAATTGGTTGATGTCTAATGCGTATGCCACCAGTTCTGTTTACTTATCATCATCATCATCACAATCATCATCATCATCACAATCGTCATCATCATCATCACAATCGTCATCATCACAATCGTCATCATCATCACAATCATCATCTTCATTAGTGCAACTAACTCCGTCGCCACAGATTCCTAGACATGCAGCTTCTTTTTATGGTTGGTGGGTATTTTGTATAAGTGAATAAAATTGAGTTTAGAGATTAGATTTGATTTACCTCTTCAGTGAATGCGATAGCATTATTACAGCATCCGTAATGACGTCATCAACGTAATTTTTGTAATGACGTCGTCAAGGTCAATCGAATCGAGTCGAATTTAAATGGGAATCAACTGGATCCAATTGAAATTTTCAAATTAACTACAAATAATAAATAATTTATTTTTAATTTTTTCTTTTTTTCTTCCCATCAACCAACAGCAGATTATACGAATAGCAATTTCAACAACAGCAACAACCACAATAGCCACAACAACAACAACAAGAAGATCAACACATTAACAACAACAACAACATCACATTATGCAAGTGTAATAAGCAATGACTCATCGGCGACAACACCAACAACCTTTCATTTCGTCAACAATAATGAAGCTTGTGCACCAGTTTTTTACAAAAATCCAACAACAACAACTACTACTAGTACAAATAATAATGATAATGACAACAACAACAACAATAATAATAATAATGCTACTTCATTCTTAACAGTTACAACAACAACAACAACAACAGCAGCAGCAACAACAAATTCAGCTAAATTTTACGGAACACCAAATAAAAACAGTATCAACAACGATAACAATAACAACAACAATAATAATAACAACAACAACGCCAACTTCACACACGATGTTTGTGTAGCTAGCCATCAGTCAAATCCGACCAAGCGAGGAGGAGAAAACTTCTCCGGCTCCATTAAATCAGATCAAATAGCCCACATAGCACCGATTGAACAGATGGATTATCATCACCAACATCCTCCTCTTCCTCTTCAGCATCTTCATCATTCTCCTTCTCGTCACCATTATCAGCAACAGCAGCTACAGCAGCCACTGCAACAGCAGCTACAGCATCATCGCCGCCGTCTTTCCCAATCTCCGATTGGCGAGATGACGTTTGCTAATTGCCTATCGTCCACTCCCGCTTCAAAGAATAATAATACAAATAGTAATAATAATAATAATAATAATAATAATAATAATAATGATTACTATTACCGCTATTACAATAACATTAATGATGTCACGGATAATGATAGTAATATTAATAATAATGGTAGCGCTATCTATAGCAGCATTACAAGTCCGACTAAAAATAGATTTGACCTTGAGAGTGATGCTTCTGCTCTGCCATTGGTCAATAATAATGGTACTAGTAATGGGGCTCACTCATTGGTCAGTAATATTGGGTCGCCGAGTTATCATTGGCCTGGTGTTGGCGTCATCATCGAGGCTTATCAACGTTATGTTGAAGGTAGTGATGATGGTGATGATGATGAAAGAATGAGTGCATAATTGAACGAACGAATGAATGAATGCATTATTTTTTTTATTCTCTCCAAATTATAACGAGTTGTGGATAGACTGAATGTATTTGTTACCTATTTCCTGTACTCTTTCATCAGAGAGATTGACAGAAGAACAATTGTTGATGGAGAGCTGTGAGAGGATGAATGAGACGAACATGCAACTTGTCAACAGCTGTGATGAACTGAACAACAAAATTAAGGTATTTGTTGTATTTGTATAGGACTGTATTCGTTTGTATGGTTTGTTTGTATTGTTGTATGTATTTGTATTGTTTGTATGACTTTGTATTTGCAGGGCTTTTACATTTCTTTGTATTGTATGGCAATGTATTGCACTGTATTGTATTGTATGGTATGGTATTGTATTGCATTATATTGTATTGTATTGTTTGGTATTGTATTGTATTGTATGGTATGGTATTGTATTTTACTGTATGGTATTATATTGTATTGTATGATATTGTATTGTATTTTA